GAGCTAGAAATGAGACACAAATGTGGATTTGGGCACAGCCTGGTAGCTTTGGCATGCATATGCAGTTCACAAAATGCATTGACTTTGAAAACATTGAGAGAATGCCACTCTGGCTTTTAGTGTGACTCAAAATTTTGCTGATTTCTTTTCCCCTTCCAGAGTATTTTGTGTGTTGTCAGGATAGATATGAGAAAGTAGGATGTGGTCTGTGGGGAAGGTGGGAAGCAGAAGAGAGAAAATAAAAGTGAAGTTAGAGACATTTCAGAGCTGAGCAGTACCCAGAATATTGTATTTAAACCCTGAGCAAATAACTGATGAGAAAAAAAAAAAAGGTATTGGATTTATTAATCATAAAGGTGACTAAAATATCTCAGGATTTTTAATGCAGATTAAAAAAAATAATTGCTGAGTCTGTGGAACCGCCATGAAATTAATTCCTTAATCCACTGATAATGGCACAGCATTTCCAGTATATTCTGTGGAAGCTGGATAAAGGTAGAGGTTTTGCACCTGGTGAAAGTTATTCAGGCTCAGAGCAGTGTGTGGCAAACAGTTAAAGAGAATCCATCTGTTTCTACTGATTTTAGGTTGCCCACTCGCCCAGTGTTGCACATGAAGCATCATCCCTCTCTGGGCAGATAGGTTCTCCTCTTCAGTGGGTATTTTTCTTCTAAAATAGACCCAGCCACAGCTGGGTCAGATGAAGACTGGAAAGGATGATGAGTGCTACCCTAAAGCTGTTGCATTCCAGGTGTATTTCAGGAGTACAAGCTGGAGCTGGGACAGCACCCAGCCTTGTAACTGAGTGTGGCCAGGAGTGTGCAGGGAGCTCCTGGCAGTGGCAGCCAGTGCTGGGGAGCATCTCAGGATCCCCAGAGGTACCCAAGGAGTGCACATGGAGAAATATGTGCATTAAAAGAAAAAGGAATGTAGTTATAAACCTACAATGTGGAGAAATTATTGTAGAAATATCGTATCTAATTTAATTTTATGTACTTGGATGAAAATATCTAAAAATATTGTAAATCTCAACAACTGAGAGCCCAGATGCCAATATGAATGAATATCGTCATTACTGTAAACAGCTACTTCTAATAAGCTAAAGTTACAGGTATGAATTTGCTATACATTTTTGATGTACAAATGCATAAAAGGGTTTAATTTGTTCTTAAATGGAACTTACCTAGTTTTCTATCTAATAGATAAGACTTTTGCTTCCCTAGTCTCTATCAAACATCAAGGCACCATTTCTGTAGGTGCCAGAGAGGTTGCTAAGAAGAGTATTATTGCAAGGGCCTTACAGTGCCAAGGTGGTGGCTGCAAATGGGAGACAACTTGTTTGTTCTTTCCTCTCCCCCATCAAAACCCCAGCCAACACAATGTTCTATGCACAGGTAACTTTAGAGGCACAAACAAACGGCCTGTGCCAGTGCTGATACCTCAGCTGCTGTGAAATGGAGGGGAAGAATAATTTCTTTAAATCCAAAAATGCCTTTGGAGTTGGCTTCAAGTCCCTGTGCATGGTGGAGTACTGGGGTTTCACAAGGACTTTGCATATGACACCAGCTCTGTTGTGGTTTCCTGCTTTTGTTCAATGAACCTGCCTCTGGCAGTCTTGCATGAGTTTTTAGTTTAGCACAAGGGCTGTGAATGGATCTTAAAGGAGTTGGGGTTGGAGTATTCAGCTAAACTCAAACAGAATTAAAATAAGCATTCAGTGACAGAGTTGGTCTCTGAAACACAGCGTGCCTGGCACTGAGACCATCAGCTGTGACACTGCTGCTATCTCTTCACACTGCCCTTTTGACATATAACTTTTTCTGTACCAGTCTTTGAGGATGGAAAAACAAAGCCTTGTTGTGAAGGTGACTGCACAACCAGAGAGAGCAGTGGTTTCAGCATGCTCCTGGCTGGCTCAGCGAATGGAGAAAACCTTCAAGTAATGTCTGCTGCTGTGGCTGGTGACATTATCAAATTTCCCAGTGCAAATACCTTTGAGAGGAGCAAGCCTTCAGTTTTTCTTCTTAGGATCATTTAATGAGTCATTATTTACTTTTGTCACATAGCAATACAGGACTTGATTTCTGGGAAAAAAAATTGTAGCTCTGCCAATGTTGTTGCTGAACAGAAGCAGCATATTTACCATAACAAAGTTTAAGCTCATCACATGGGAAATTTCCAGATATAACTTTCATTGTGGTTTCATATTTTCCACTACGTTCCTGAGGGACAGCAGCTCCTTTCAGATAAGGTCTGCTCAGTAATGAGCTTCAAAGCTGTTTCTACTTGGAAAGGAGAAATCCACTAACAGCACTGCAAAAGGACCATAAAAAGTCAGGATGTGGAGCTGGGAGCACCTCAGTTTGGGTTATGGCAGCAGGAATTTTAGGGTGTAAGTGTGAGGGGAGCCTGTCCATTGTGCCCTCCTGCCACAGGCTGGGACAGGGTGTACCCCCAGCTGCAGCCTTGGGCTTTAGTTTCACTACAACCATTTAAGCCAAGGAGTTTCAAAGGTCTGTCCTGCTCTTGTCCTGATGGGGTTTGGAGAGCCCTGGGGGAAGAAACTCACTTTTACTTCCTTAAATCTTCACTGATCTATCTCCCCCACAGGGTGGGGTTTGATTTGGGGTTTCTTCTTGTTTTTTTTTTCAATGCCAAATGACAAAACACATGAACTTTTAATGTTAAATGACAAAGCACATGGACTGAGAGTGTTTATAGGATGTTTTCCTAAAGGAGTAGGGTGGATCACGCTGTGCCCAGTCAAGCCCTGGAGTGACGGGGATCAAATTTTGCTGAGGTCTTAGTCACACCCTGAAGGAGGAGACCCTTCAATCTTCCTGAGCAATAGTAATTTCTAATGCTCAAAGGTGTCCCTGCAAGCCTGCAGAGCCAGAGCTGTAGGAGAAATAGGCAAAGGAAGAAGTGATAAGTTTTCTCCAGATCAGCCTGGCCAGTTTCCTGCAGTGGTTTAGGAAGAAGTAGGGAGCAACTTTTGCCACCAGGACAGAATGTGAGCTTTGCTGCTGACCCTCCCTGGCCATGCAATCCCCAGGGACTGAACATGCACAGACCTGAGGCTCTGCACGGCTGCAGTGCCAGCTCCCACCTGCTATAAATACAGGCAGCCTCAGCAGAGCTGCTGTGATTTATGCCAGGCAGGGACTTGGTCCAAGGGCCAGGCTAAAACACTGGCACAAGGAAGCCTCTCTGACTTTTATTTTCAAATTTCAGCAGCTCTGCGTTCATGTTAGGGTTGCTTCTTTATCTTTCCCCCCTCTTTCTTCTCCTGCTGCTCTTGTACATTTTTGTTTGACCATTACAATTCCATCAAATGGGATCAAAGCAGAGGTTTGAAGTTGGGTTTGGTTGGGTTTGGTTTGGTGGGTTTTCTTGATGTTTGTTTGTTCAGGATTTGTTGTTGGGGTTTTGGGTTTGGTTTTGGTTTTGATTTTTGTTGTTGTTGTTGTTGTTTTTGGTGGTTTTGTTTTGTTTTGTTTTGTTTTGTTTTGTTTTGTTTTGGTCCCTGACTTTCTTTGCCTTTTGAGTGTCTACCACAGTGGAAAACAAGAAGTTTTGGCTTGACCACCGAGATGTAAACTGACAGCAGTCTGTCTTTAGGATGTCTTTCTCTTAATCAAAATAGTAATCAATGCCTTGCAGCACAAGACTATGAGAAGCCTGCAGCAGTTTTCTTTAAAACAGATCTCACTGAGCAGTCTGCAATCTTGTACATGTGCCTCCCCAGTTCCTGGGCTGCTTGGTTGCAAGCTGGGGGTCACCCATGGCATCAGCTCTGTCACCTTTTACCATGAGGGCAGTACAAAATCTCACATTAAAAATACAGAGTAAGAATCGCTTTTCACAAAGGGAAACTGCTGAAATTTGCAAACACAAAAGGGAGGAAGCAACTTTGACTCATATTATGCTTAAAAGGATGCTTCTCAGCCAAAGACTACAATTCCCAGGTGTCACCATGAAATCTTGACAATTTGCCCAAACCCCATTTTCATTCAGGAAGTTTGTGATTAATAGAATTAGGCCCTAATCATGCAAAGCATAGGAAAGCATGTGAGAATACCCACCTTTTATGGCATGGCATTTGCTGGCACTCTCAGCTCCATTGTAGCAGACAAGATTAAAGGATCAGGATGTAAGCCAGATACTGAACTGCTGCTGCTGAAGTTGTATTTTGCCAGTATATTGATTACAGAGGATTTTTTAAGACTTCAGAAGAATATCCTGTATCCGTATTTCTATGTTAGCTTCTAACTGTATATGTTTAATGAAGTGGAGAGCTTATTTCATAAGGTAAGCGTGAGGTGTCTGTTTGCCAAATCAGTTTGGTCCATTCATTTGGCTGTCTGTGTAGTTTTGGGGTTTTTCTTATTTTTTTTTCCTACAAAGTTTCTTGTGAAAGAGAAGCAGATTTTTGACAATGTTGACACAAGGAGGGAGTCCCATGCTGAGGTCTGCTTTTATACTGAGATGAGCAAACTTCATTTGCCTTTGGAGGATGCTGGCCATACCTGCCAGCCAGCCAATTTCTTTTCTGGAAGATGTTCCAGAACAAAGCCCTAAGGTCTGTTCTCCAAATCCCTGCTTAATCACAGAATAGGCTGAGTTGGAAAGGACCCATCAGGATTGATTCCAAGCCCTGGCCCTGCACAGGACATCCCAAGAATTGCACCATGTGCCTGAGGGAATTGTCCAAACACTTTTTAATTCTCCTTATGTCAGAATATCAGAATATATTGTAATGGCTTCACTTAAACAACAGACAATTGCAACATTTTTTAAAAATTGGCAATATGAATGTAAGGAATTGAATATTTATTTCCTGACCTTTTTTTTTTTTTTTTTTTTTTTTTTTTTTTTTTTTTTTTTTTTTTTTTTTTTTTTTTTTTTGTTAAGGTTACACTTGGTAGGATGCTTTTCTACAAGTGTCTGAGTTTGGGCTGGTTCTTTCACAGCACCAAGCTGGCAGGAAATGCTCCTGGTGGATTGAAGTAGCAGGAAGGTGGGTTGGAGCAGGATCCAGGAAATCCAGGCAAACTGCTCCATCAAGTGTTGAGAGGTAAAACTGGCACTGCAGGACTCTAAAAACACCACAGGTCAGCCTTGGGCCTGAAGCAAAGTGACTGCACGTGTCCAGTACACATCAAACGTGCAGAATCCCTACTGATCTTCATAGGGCCTGGCTCCACTCTCAGCTGCACAACATATTATGGGATGGTCTTCATTTTAATTTGATGTTTACTCCCTTAAAAATATCCACTGCAGTAGCCAGTAAATCTGATCTTTTTTATTTCTTCCCCAACAGTTCAAATAAAAGCAGATGTTTTACATATATGCACATCAAATGTATGGTTCAAAAATAAAGCTTTACTTGCTTTCCTATGAAATGGAACAATAATTGTTGGGAGATTTGTAGGGAGAGAAAACTAAGCAGTTGTTTTATCTTGAATTTTAAGACTATATTTAATTATTCTGTTATATGTTGACAGATATGAAGGCTGGTCTGCTTGTACAAATCTCACTGAAATAATATTTACACTTAGATATTCAGGCTTTCTTGCTTTCACAGTGGAAATTTGAACCCTTCTGACCTGAACCTTTTACTTATTCATTTAGGATATCTGCATTGCTCACTGCTTAGAGAAAGTTTGCCATTTGCATGGTTGCATGGTAAGTCTACCATCTACAAGTAGACCTTGATTTTTATACAATTTTTTTTTGCCAAAATGAGTCTACTCTCACACAGCCACTTGAATCAATTGAGGTAAATTTTACTTTAAGGTTTTGGCTTCTAGGGCTTTCTGTGGAGAAACTACACTGAAATGTTATTGCAACTTCATAAGAGAATAAAAATTTTATTAAAATCTTTGTTGAAAAATCCAGCTAGTAAATGAATGGGATTAATGTAGTATAACCTGATTTTTTTAAGCAAATGCAGTGCTAAGAAGAATTAATTTTTTTGTAAAAAGAGGTAAGAGCTTTCAAATGTTTTTAAAAATGTCATTGCTGTTTAGATTTAAAAGCTTTCTGATAGAGACGTTTCTTGCTTTTGGTTTTTTTTTTGTTTTGTTTTGTTTGTTTGTTTGTTTGTTTGTTTGAGTGACAGAAAATTCTCTCTTCTACTATTTTTGCTGAAAGCCATTGAGCTTTAGGCTGTTTCTGCCTCTTCCCCAGGGGCTGTCCCAGGATTTGTTTTATCTCGTCCTGACTGGTACCTTCAGGAGCACCAGAACTTTGTGGAGTCATGGAGTCATTTAGATTGGAAAAGACCTTAAAGATAATAGAATCCAGCCATAACTCTTCTGATGTATTGCCTCCATCCCCAAATACTGAGACTGGGGGACTGTACAAAACCTAAAAATTTCCTTAAAAGCCTCAGAAACAAGTGTCTGATATTCACAAGCAGGTACAACTCAGGGTGTGCTCCCTCTTCACTCCTGCACTCTGTTAGCAAATATGTATCAATAATATATTCTATAAATAATAGACATTTTATTAAAATATTGTCAAATCCCACCTTTTTTGTAAATGCAAGTTATAACCATGGTATGAGAGCAATCCAATATGAGTAGCACTGTGAGTTTCTGTACCTCTTTAAAAAAATGTACATGTTCACCAGCACCTAAAGCCTTCCCTGAATTTTGAGTTGGGGAGAAAATTATTAGTGTATAGAGAAATAAATAGCAACCAACCCTAACTTGTTTCAGAAAAGGCTTGGAGAGGGAGTTACCAGCTTAGTACCTTTTGCCTTCAGTGGGGTGCAAAAATTTGGATGGCTTCAGGTGCCTCCCTGAATTGTTTGGGTTTGTGTTGAATTTGTCAGCATTGATGAAAACCAGCCTGATGGAGAGACTGGTAATTGCTGGGGGACCCTGGCAGCAGAGAGCAAAGAAAAGGATGGTGAGTCAATGCAGAGTGATACTGTTTTTAATCTAAAATCCCAAAAACCCCCTCCACTACTATGCAGAGTAACAGGTGTAACCACAAGCTTTCCTAGGTCCCTCCCCCAGCCCAAGCTAATTTAGTCTTCTAAGCCTATGGAATGAGTACAACATGACGGAGCCAAAATTTATGAAAAAATATCCATGTTAATATAGGCTGTAAAATAAAACGAAAGCTGAAGTAAAACAGCTTTTATTCACATGAAAAAATAAACCTGTTAGCTCTGATAATCAATTAAAATATTATAGAATCAAGCAATCACAGATGTAGAAGCTTATCCTCCTTTAAGTCATTATAAATCACATCCTTTCCTAAATCTCTCTATTCCCTTTCATTGCTTACATTATAATCCCTGTCCGGGTATCATTTCCATTGCTGAACACACTGTTTGCCAGTCCGTTTATTAAGGTTTGTCTTGATAGTGCCAAAACAAATGCTCCTTTTCAAAGATAAAAGGAAGGCTAATATTAAAACAATAATTTCACCTCTTTGCTGGCAGAGCCTACTTATTGAAGAAATTGGCACACGGAATCTCTGAGGTGACAGGGAATTAGTGTGTCAATAGGAGCCTGCTTTGAAGTTGACCCACACTGTTCTTGGTGGTGTTGGGTATACCCTGTCTCTTGCAATAGGATGTGGGGAAAGAGAACTGTTTGGGGCAGGAAGCAGCTAACAATGAAAGTGCTCTGGTTTTCGTGAAGAGACTTTACTGAAAAAAAGGATGCAACATGTAGGAGACACAAAAAATAAAGGCAGAAAAATCACAGCCTTGAGACTAGTGACAGGACGAGAGGTAATGACTTCAACCGAAGGAAAGCAGGTTTAGATTAGATATCGGAAATTCCTTACTGTGATGGTGGTGAGACATTGGAAGAGGCTGCCCAGAGAAGCTGTGGGTGCTCCATCCCTGGATGTGCTCAAGGCCAGGCTGGATGGGGCTCTAAGCAGCCTGCTCCAGTGGAAAGTATCTCTTCCCAAAACAGTTCTTTGGAGCTACATCATCTGTAAGGTTCCTTCCATGACTGAGAAGAACAACAAAGAGGCATTAGAGGGCATGGGGCAGTTAAAGGAAATGTGTAACCCTTGGGTTTGTTCAGGAGGGCTTTGGTGACATCAGACTTACAGCAGTGATGTCAGCAAAGTGCCCTGAGTAGTGAGAGGGCAGTAGGGCTGAGAGCATTACTTGCCATAGTGAGGAGTGCTCCAAAATATTCCAATGGAAGCAAACACTTGTATTACACCCAAAACTGCTGCCACTTCAGTTGAAACCTGGGGGAAACACGAGCCTAACAGCTTAACAACCCTCCTGATTTATATGCAAAAACTACTGCGAACAAGAAGCAGAGCTCCTAAAAACATGACTTAAACCCAAGCCTGAGAACAGATGAGGTGTAAATGAAATGTGTTCTGTTTTCCTATGGTTTAGCTGGTGGCAGACAAAGCCAGAGCCAAGGAAAGCTGACAAGCCACACTAGGGCTCAGGGGTCTGAGCACTGGGAGACAGAAGCTGCTGCTAAGTGGGAAGGCTTTTGAACCCAGAGCACTCTAAATACCATTTCAGCTTGAAATGCTCAAATTTCATGAGAGCTTGATGAAACAAAACCTAACTAACACTTCATCCAAATATGTACTTTTTGTATACAAAATACATATGCAAGGGAACTTGAGGAAATGGCATGATGTGGGCAGGGGACGTTCAGGCTGGATATCAGGAAAAGGTTCTTCATTCTGAGGGTGGCTGGGGACTGGAACAGTTCCCCAGGGCAGGGGTCACACACCAAGCCTGGCAGAGTTCCAGAAGCATTTGGACAATGCTCTGGGACACATGGTGGGATTCTCAGGGTGCCCTGACCAAGAGTTGGACTCAATGATTCTGGTGGGTCCCTTCCAACTGAGCAGATTCTATGTTTCTATAAATCTGATTGCAGCAAGAACAAGATGAGCAATGTTCCCTTTTTGCATGGATAAGCCTATTTAAAATAAAAACCACAAATAGCTCCAGTTTATGGCACACAGCTGATAGATCACTATGGTTGGACATGGATGGGCAGCAGAAAAAGTGTCAGTTTCATCTCTAGTTGACAAAAACATTAGGAATAACAGCACTTGAGATAAAGAAATAGGTCAAGATGAGGTAGCATGGGGGAACTATTTAAAGGGAACAGTCAAGTGTCTTCCTATGGAATTGCATTTTGCTTCACATTAAATGGGAAACTGTATGCTCTTTGATGTTCCAAACTGCCTTTAAAGATGAAGCCAGATAAATGATAGATGGTTCAAGGGTTTGCCCCTGGAATGGTAAAGGTGGCCTCAGTGGTGTTTGTCAATAGATACAAACTGGTATTACATTTCCATTACAGGCTGGTAATCTGGACATGGAGAAAGGACTGTCCATAGCTCCAAAGAGATTTACAGTAGATCAGAGAAAGGAAGTGTTAAAAGTGGAGTGAAAAGGTTGAGCATAGTGTTTGTATTAATGTAACTGCACTGATTTTGGTGCCATTCTTTCAGATTTTTCTCTTAAGTATGTCTGTTGGGGTTTATCACTGGGGAATTACCAATATTTAATTTAGAAATATATTTTTGTTCTTGTGACAGAAAATGAAATATAATTTATCATCAGATTTGTAAACCTGGGTTTGCAGTATGGAACTTGGAGAAGAATGCATATTCCTAACAGTCAAGAGGAATTGCTTAATGGGTTGTCTGGCATTGGTATGAGCTCTCCAGGTAGGTGGTGGAATCACCATCCCTGGAGGTGTTCACTGCCACTGGATGTGGCATTTAGTGCCATGGTCTAGTTGACAAGGTGGTGATGAGTCAAAGGCTGGACTTGATCTCAGGGGTCTTTTCCAACCCAAGTGGTTCTGTGATTCTGTGATCCTTGGCACACTCACAGGTTTTCTTCTGCTTTGTAAAAATCCCCCCGAACTGATGGGACATTCTAAACTAAGTGTAGGGGTAAAGGGATGAGATTTCAAGCCTTTTTGAGTTGCCATCACATTGGTTACATTTTAAAAAGTCTAATTTTTAAAGAAATGTGACTGGAGAAAGAATTTTTTTCAGATTGCTCATCAGATAATTGGTGTGGAGCTACATTTTGTGACTGCAAATGATTAGTAAGGCAAGACCACAGTTTCCCTGAGATACTGGATGGGTGTTTCTGGCAGTCCTCTCAATGAAACCCTGTTTTTATTAAATTCCTTGTCTCTAAATGTAACAAATTCTTATGTCAAGGTTGATGTGACTCCAGCATTTCCTAACTACAGCCCTGCCCCAAGATAGTAAGTGAGCTATAAATTCTCAGCTTTTTCAGGACTAGGTTGAATTGGCTGAGAAGTTTCATTTGAAAAAACATTTTAGTCATAGTTTTTCCTGCCTACATGAAGACTCAAGCATCTTGATGCCCCATTCATTTAATGGAGCCATTGGACATTCAGTAATACTGAAAGCTGCTCCCAAGCTACTTCAAGTGAGTAATTTCAAACTAACAGTGCAATAAATCTTTCCTAGAACATACACAGACCACTGTAAAGAGGTATGTGAATTCCCAGTTCTTTTCTTGAAAATATTAACAATGAGATTGTTTAGTTACATTTCTGGAGGAAATAGAAATTAAATTTTTAACATTCTCTTGACCTGGAAAGTGTTAAGTTTTCTGCTTTTAAATGCATCTCTCTGCTGTAGAAGGAAGGCTATCTGAGTTGATAACTCAGTTTGAGATGTTCATGGCAAGGGAAGAGTTGGTCTAGTGATGAGCACCACGTGTTCAGCACTGAAAATGCTGCTCTGACCTTTTCCTGGCATGCCCGCTCTGAACAGAAAGATATTTTGACATTTTTAATGTGATATGAAATGATATGGATATCCTCTTGTGAAATACAATGAACTTACGTGTTTTATGTCACTCTGCTTTGAGACAGCTGGAGCTGAAAATGGGCTGTAACTATAAACACCATTAGTCCTTTTTTTTTTTCATCTGTGTGGAGCACAGCCACCCCTATTCCTGTGCTTTTGGACCCATAAGGATGACAATTTACCTGCCCCACCTGCACTCTATAGGAGCATTGAATGGTTTGGTCAGGTAAACTGAGGCACCGGTGGCTGGGCTTTTGTTGTGTTATGGTTTCTTGGATGTGCAAAAAAAAAGAGTATTAATTACTGCTTATGCCCTAAGATTTTTATGAAAAGGTTATAAGAGATCCTCCAGGTTGTGGGAAGGATGACCAAGGTGGTGAGGGGTCCAAGGTGGACATGTGCAGTGTGGTGGAGCAGTTTCCTGGGCTTCCATCACAGCAGCAGCGAAGGCTGCTGCCCTAACCTGGCCACCATCTGCAGAGCCAGCACTGGGGAACACCAATGTGGCCAGCAGGAGGGAGCTGCAGCCCTTCCAGCAGGTTTTGGAGAGCTGCTGGGAGAAGCCCTGGCTGGTGGAGAGTGTTCAACACAAGTGCACTGTACCCAGATGAACCCCCCAGCACAGCAGCTACTTTAAGCACTCCCCAAACTCCCCCAAAAGAAGGGATCACCCAAAAGCAGCTTCTAAAAGCCTTTTGCAGTCATTAGTACTGTCCCATGCTGCAATGAGCATGTCCACATCTCTGCAGTGTGCTCACATTTCAAAGGCAGTGCTCCTAACCAGCTGCATCTCAAGAAATCGAGCAATTTTTTACAATTTTTTGTTCTTTCTTTCCTTTTTTTTTTTTTTTTTTTTTTTTTTTTTTTTTTTTCTTTTTTTTTTTTTTTTTTTTTTTTTGAAGATACCATGCCAAGTCTTTTGAAATGAAAGCTGGGGCAGGCCTAGTGGAGATTAATGTAGGAAAAATGCTGCTGGCTTGATAAGCCACAGATGTCTGTGAGATTTGTGGAGGTTGCTGACAGCTTGTGATGGTTTGCAGCTTGTGAGGTCCCCCTGCTCCAGGACCACGGATGTGCTCAATCCATGGCTGGAGGTGCAGGCCAGGGCTTGGCCCAGCATGGTGCTTGGGTGAAGGGTTTGAGAAGACCTGGAAGAAAAAAAACTGGTCTGGACCCACTCTGTCATTGCAGAGTTTTCTTAAGTGCTGCACCTATTTATAAAAAAAAATATTTATAAAAAAAATATTTTTTTTTTAATAATCTCAGTATTGGCAACTGTTTTTATAATAGTGTAATGGGGAGACATGGTGAAAATCTGTGAAAGCATAATATGGTGATGGAAACTCAGGCTATTGCACCAACCTTGGAAAATTGGAAAGGTGACTTATGTTGGTGGAATAATTGCTAGCAGGTGGACAGGAGTTTGGCTTCTGTTAACACTGCATACTTAATAAAAACTATGCAACTTTTTCAGGTAAGACTTTCATTGAGTCCTGTTAGCTGGTACCAGTAACACCAATGAATTGACAGAAATTTTTTTTCTTGCTCTTTTTAAACCCAAGATTGTCCTGTCATCAAACACTGCCACAGGAGCAGTGCAGAGTGTGACAGAAGGTCCCTCTGTTAGAATGTGGGCTGGTCTGGCTTTGTTTTTCAACAGTTACAGATGATCGCATATACAAAAATTCAATAAAATTCATAATTTCTTGACATTGAGCACACATGTAGACTGCATCATTAGTGAGATGCTGCCAGTTAGACTATTTGTGGAACAAAACTCTGTTGTTTTCATGACATCAAGGCTAAATACTTCACTGACTTGTGGGCACACATGAAGTTATCCCTCACATGCTGCCAGTGACTCCTCATGCAGAAATCCCCTGGGAGTCTCATCCTCTGCTCAAATTAAGGTTCTTCTGAAGCTGCATTCTTGCATGCCCTGATATTGTATGCTCAGGTTTATTTTATGCAGATAATTAAATTAAATCTGTTGTGAGTTTTAATTTTGAAGTGACTTTTTTTATCACCTTGATATACCTTAATGGGTCCTGATGATTATATGCTACTTGTTGGTACCAGTACTTTCCACATCTGGATAACAGGAATTGGTACAATCTTTGTCCTAAAAGTTTTGGGAAAATGCAGAAAATTGCTTTGCCAAAATGTTATGAAAATAATTTGAACCAAAATAGCCTTTGGGGATTTCTGGGATATTTTTTTTCAGGTTTTTTTTCCTGGTGTTTTTGGTTTTTGTTTTGTTGTTTGTTTTGGTTTAATTTGGTTTTTTCCTCAGAAAAACAAGAAGGTTTTCTGTAAAATTTTGATAAGGCAAGGAAGTAAATCCCTAAATAGCAATTTAAATTCAGCATTACCTATAACAAGAATTTATGCATGCACTTGTAAACAAATTAGCAAAGAACCAGGCCTCTCTTGTCATCTTTGTAATAGTGTATTTTTATTCCTGCTGACATCCTGTGTTGCTCACCCAGGCTGGTACCTTTTGCCTTGTGTCTAATCAACACCTCTTGGTAGAATTCAGACACAGCTGATATTTAGCATATATATTTTTATTGGAAAAACTTGTACACTGGTAGCTCACATAAGCTGATTGAGGCAGCTAAGAAATAATTTCCATTAATGATAGGAAAACTTTTATTCCATGTACCCTCAAAAGTAGCAATAGTTTTAGGGGAATTTGGAAGGAAAATCACAGAAGAGTTTGGGTTGGAAGGGACATTAGAAATTATCTCATTCCAACCCTCATGGTCAGGAATACCTTGCACAGGGCTGCTCAAAGCCCTGTCCAGGCTGGCCTTGAACACTCCCAGGAATGGGGCATCCACAGCTTCTCTGGGCAACATCTTCCAGTATCTCACCACCCTCACAGTAAAGAGCTTCTTCCTAAAATCCAACATAAATCTGTCCTCTTCCAGTTTAAAACCATCCCCCCTTGTCTTGTCACAATTTCCCCGTGTAAAAGCTGCTCTCCTTTCTTTCACAGGCTCCCTTTAGGCAATGGGAGGTCTCCCTGGAGCTTCTTCTCCAGGCAGAACAGCTCTCAGCCCAGTGTCATAACCAGCAGTGCTCCAACCCTCTGATGGTCTTGCTGGCTCTCCTCTGGACCTGTCTAACAGGTCCACCTCTCTCTCCAGGTGGGCAGAATTCAAGGGATGCTGCACGAGGGTAGAATCCCTTGAGAGACTGGGAGGCCAGTGCAGACTGAGGCAAAGAATTCACTGAGTGCCTCAGCCTTCTCCATATCTGTAGTCACCAGTTCTCTTTTCTCATACCCATCCTGTTCACTCTCCTTGGCCTTTCCTTTCTGACCTATGTGCTTACAGAATCCCTTCTTGTCATTCTTCACATCCTTTGGCAAGTCCTATTCCATCTCTGCCTTAGCTTTTCTGATCTTGTACCTACACATCCAAACTATGGCTTCAGTTACCCAAAATATTTGAGTATTTGAGGAAGAAAATAGAAAATTCTTTCATTTCAATTCCTCTGTAAAATAAAAAGTTTCAAGCATTTTCTTTGGAGGAGGTGAACAGGATGGAGACTGGCTATGTTATATAGCATATTACATATCAAATGATCTAGAGCCTCTAGATCTTCACCATATCCTGTGCTCACAGTTTGGGGTGGGAGAGATGGGGGGATTAAAAGTGCTATACACATGATCATCTGATATTTTTGCTTATGAGCACAAAAAAGCCTGGTATAGCCATAATAAATACCTTCTGACACTTAGTGCTACCATGATATCAACAAAGGGAACTCTGATATCTGCATTTGCAAAGGGTGAACAGAGACAGTGATCAAGTGAGTTCCAGGGAATTATCTTATTGTCAGCTCTTCTGTTTGTGGCTTGTGGACATCTCCTGCTCTTGTTCACTTTGTGGCACTTGTGGGGCTCTTGGTAAACCTCACACACCAAGTTATCATTTAAACTCCTGTATCCTTGTGTAGCATTTGGAACCATATTCAAAACATTATTTTTCTTTACCCAGGGGGCTAAACAATTACTTTATCAGTTGTAGGTTGGTGTGTGCCTCTGCAGGGAAATCCATCACTGTAATAATGTAAATTCAGCTCTAGGAATTCTGCAATGCACAGCAGGGTGAAAACAACCCCCCCCCCCCCCCCCCCCCCCCCCCCGATTTGGGATGGGAATGTTGTGAATGTGCCTCCCTATCTTCAGGCAAGGCTTCTTTAAGGTAGCTCCTCTGTTGTGCCAAGCCAGATTATTCAAGGCTTTATTGTGTGAATCTGTAGTATAAGATATAAGCACGCTTTAATGAGGATCTAAAAGCCAAGATTTCCCACAGACTGCTGTGCTATAGCTGAACTATGACTTCTAAGTAGTTCTTAGTGCCTTGAATCTTATTTTTATGTTCTTAATGGTTATTCTATTTAAATCCATTCTTTTTTCAGGTGGAATGGATCTGTAATCTGAAAATGTCTCAACAGAGCAGCTATCTTTCTTGTGAATAAAAATTCCTTTGTGGAAATAAGCATATGAAATTCACCATACAGAGGTGGCAATGCTACATAAAACCCCTGCAGGACTGGGTTGGGGAATGTGTATATTTGGGGTTTGTTTTGGTATTTTTTAAGGGAAAAGTGTAATTTATGCCTGGATAATTAGTGGTATTTTACCACTGAAATGGACACCACTTGGAGGAATAGTCACTGGCGCCTTTCACACCTGCACAGGGTATGAAATTCCAAACAATTAAAACAATTAATGTTTCCTCCTGAAAATAGTCCATTGTGGTTCAGCAAAAACTGTGTTGTAGTACATTTAACAAATGTTATAAAACAGAATGTGTGATAAATGGAAAATGTGCTGTCAAAGACCTTTACACATGTTTTCATTCCCAAAAGTTGATATGGATAACTTTGTGAGCTAGTGTCACTTGCCAAGATTAATTTATTGCAGTTATTCCATGTGAAATGCTTTTGTTTTTCAAGAATTGTGACAGGGCAGTGTTTGGGTTTTTTGTTCTTCTAGAAACAAAAGAGTGGTGCCATTTGGTCTTTTGGTCAAGAATAGAAAACAAGTAGTAGGGGCTAAAAGTCATCTTAAATGTGAACAACTTGTCTGTATTTCTACTTATCTTCTATCTGAAAGGAGCTCTAAAGGGGGGGATGCCACACAAGTTTTTATATTAAATATTAGTTCATTGTGTCCTGACTTTGCTTGTAGGTGTTCACTCTATTTCTTCAAAGGGCAGGAAGACTGCAGTGTATCAATCACTTCTTTTTTACACTTTGTGCATTCTTTGATTGTCATCAGACTTTAAGTCATCACATGGAAAAAAAATTTATACGTGCCCTGAGAAGGCAAATACTTAAAAAGAGGACTTTTAGCTGACAGATCCAAAATGTCATTCCTAAGTGTTTGTGGAATAATATAATAATATTAAAATTATTTCATTAGAGGAGAAATATAACAGAATTTGTTTAACAGAAAGAGGGGGTTAAAATTCATTTGACTTCCATTAGTTAGTGTTTTCATGGTCATCTTTGTAGAGAAATGGTGAAAAAGAATTTAAGAAAATGAAAGCTGAAATCTTCTACATCCCTGGTGCAAAGCAGGAAGAGCCACCAGCACTCCATGGGTTGCTTGGTGCCATCCCTTTCCCAGTTCCCTATTTTTGGAAGGTTCTGTAGAAGGTCAGTGGGAAACATAACTCCTGGCTCCTAAGGCAAAAGCAACCTGGATTATCATCCATGTGAAACCAAAGACAGGGTGCTAGCAGAGAGCAAATAGTTACTCCTGTTAGTATTTCCTAGCTGAATGCAAGCAGCTTAAATTTCAGTTGTTCTAAATTAGCTGCTGAATTAAAAAAAAAAAATATTTAGCTCTATTTTGTTTCCCCTTAGTCAATCGTTCATTATTTCCATCTAGTGCTCGAAACCTAATCATGGTTACTGAGAAAATATTTCAGGAAACTATCTCCACTGAACATTTTAATGTAAATTTAAGAGAGAAACTTTTTGCCAGTTTGATAAGAATAAATCACACATCATACATTCATAATCATACACTTAATTCATTTTTAATGCTGCATTTTTATTAGGAAGCCATAAATACTGATACTGATATTTCATGTTTTATTAGTAATAGCAGTTGAAGGAAGAATTTTCTGGAAGCTCCAGCTCTCCAACAAGCATGTTTGCATGAGCACAACACCACCAGCGAAGGGTTTTGGTTGTCATGGCCAAGACTATGGTTGCCAGCATGTCCCTGGTTTGGAACTGTGGCTTTGCCCCTTTTGTGCCAACCTGTGGCTGTGACTTTCTTGAGGAAATCTCAGTACACACTTTCTCCAAGAAAAGCTGGGTTTGTCTTGTCTCTTAAAAAAATCTTTTAAATACTAAATAAAATAATAATATCTTAAAGTATACTTAGAAGGTGCATTTGAAATTCCAGTCCCTCAGAAGGGGAGAAAGCACCAATTTCACCACTCTATGAATGCCATAAGCTGATTTATGGCTTCTTTTGACAGTTGGTCATGTGGCAGGGGCAAAGGAGCAGCTGGTAATGCAACCAGTAAAAGCTAAAGAGGAGGAAATGCTATGTTACAGAAGCAGAGGGATATTATTAGCTCCTGCACTCTGCTAGAGATGATGCTTGGGATGAGAGGAGCACTTTAGGAGGCCAGACAAATTTCCCTGAGGCTTTCAGGACCAGACTGCTGTAGAGAAATGAGGGACCACAGATGCAGAGAGGTGCTGGACAATCACATAACTGAGTCCAACACTGACACTGTATTCTTGCTAGTTACTGTAACTGAGTGTGCTGGGTAAGAGACAAAAAAGTCATGAGCTGATGCATCTTGGGAATTAAAACTAAAATTTTTCTGAGAGTTGCTTTATCAAATTGGGAAGGACCAAGGCGACCCCTCACTTTGCAGATGGCAAAGGGCAGACACTGACAATAGCACCTGGATTGCCACATCAGTAACCCATGGAAAATCATGGTTCCTGTCCTTTAGAGCTCTCTGGATGGGAAATGTGGGCCAACCTCTCTCTTAACCTTACCAAGCTCACCCTTACAGCCTCGAATCTTGCTCAGACAAGCAAGATGCTCATACCAAGCTGTCTCTCATGGAGAGATTCTCCATGAGAAATGGAGAATGAGAACAGATGAGAAACTGTTCCAGACACTGACTGCTCTGACTGTGCAACCTCCTGCTCCTATTTTGCCACCCATGTCCTAAGATAATCCATCAACCCCCTTGAGTGAGCTGGCAAAGCATGAGATGCCAGAATGTGTATAAATGTAAATGTTTAAAAGAAGTGAAAAGGCAAGAAAAATTGACATTAGTAATATTTAGCTTTTAAAAAACTCAAATAAAATGAAAATCCCACAACCTCCCATCCCAAAGTTCTCAAAACAGAAGGAATCTCTTAATGTAGGAAACTACAGAAGGAGCATTTAGAAGGGCAAAGAAGGAAGAATTCTAACACTGAAAAACATGCATGTGATAGCAAATAAAGCCAGTTCTGCATCAAGATTGGGTTTTTGTGACTCTTCCCTGCATGTATTCCAGATGAAAGTCCCCTTTCCTAAATAGTGAGTGGAAGCATACTGACTTAAGGATACTGTTGATACATGTGTAGTGTTTTTTTCTTTTTTTTTTCAGCTAGAAGTATCTGTGAACTGGAAAGCTTATAATAAATAATGAATGTAGCTTCTTCTGCCTTTCATCTCTGTGTCTCCCAATCTGGCTATATTAAATTTCTTGAGCTTTGCTTCCATCTTAGTTCTGATAATGTCATATCCCTGTTGCCATTATTTATATTGCCTTGATCCATCCTGTAAAATGAGGCCAAGTTCTTATTTAAAGCTGTATCTGGATCATCCTTGATCTATGTGCTAGCTCTATCATATAAAACTTCTTTTTTTTTGCTTCCTTGCTCTTCTCCTCTTATTCATATACACAACAGTCTTGTTGCTCTTTGTTCTGAATTACAACTCTTCTATTTGTAAAATAGCACTTGTTCAAGTTGTATTTAAATTATATTAAAAAATAGAATTTTCTTAGTAGACAGTGGAGTATTTTTCATATACCCTAAACTCTCTCCT